CTGTCGGGTCAGGTAAAAGCCCTCAATCCCGAGGGGTCAGAGGTCGCCGTCTGAGCACAGGCACAGTCAGTGTTTAGATGTTGTGTAACTTAAGGAGCGAGAGTTTGATCCCTCGCAGGATCTCGTGTCTGTCAGCTTTCCACTCTTGTGCTTTGATGTCTGTCCTAATGAACCCCGGCAACAGGGTATGTTTTCCTTCATCTTCACGTCTCTCTTTGTCACTTAGACAAAACACGTCTAAAAACAAACTCCATCTGTTGAGAGCATAAATTAGTTCGTAAGCAGGATTTTTTGTGCTCAAGCTGTTTTTGTAAGTGCTTGTAGTCATGGTGGGCCTGCGGGATGTTGGGTTCCTCTCTGGGCGGTGGGTTTTTACAGACAGCATTTTCCACCCCACACTGACTTTTCAATAATCCATTTGCATTTACAAAGCAGAGACCACTGTCTGTTTCAAATGGTGCAATGATCTGCACTTGTTCCAGATTCATAAATAGTTGATGTACTGTATGGAAATACTGTAACATCCTAGAGTGTTTTCGTTACTCTGCTTTTTCTCATCTTAGAAGGATAGTTCACCAAAACATGAAATCATTTTCATCATTTACTCGCTGTTATGTTGTTCCAAATCTCTGACAATTTCTTTTGTGGAACACAGAAGGAGAAAATGGAATAATGTACTGGTTGCTAATTACAGTTTTTCTCAGTCGTTTTGGTGCATTTCTCAGATCAGAAATGAAATTCTCAAAACTACTTGTTCAACCTCCACATCATCTAGTCATTTGTACACATCATAAAAGCAGTTTCTCATTCTTTTGAACAAGTTGCGATTGCTTTGGTACATTCATGCAATTGATTATGTACATTTATCTGCGGTTTGCTACATTATCAGTTGCTAATGTACTGTTGCTCAAAATGTATTACTGTATATAGTTTTCTGTGCAATAGTCAACATCTACTCTTTAGTTCATCGTATAAGACATTAAATGCAAAATGGTTCATCTAGTTGTCATAAACTGTCAAGCACATTCTGTACACAATATTATTAGACTTTTTGTAAATTTGGCATGAATTGTGCAAGTGAATCTTGACTTTCACTAATGAAGAGAATGCAGATCAACCAATGACAAACCAGTTCTCTGAAATACCTCAAAGGTGCCTCTCATGAATCTTCAGTTGGAAAGCATATACTGTATAGACAGAGGACAACACAAGAGTTACAAATTCTGACAATGGACTTTCACATTTTTTTTATTTTCATCTTTGTGCCCATATTTATTTTTCCTTTTCTATATCGCAATGACATTGTAATGTGTGTGTGTGTGTGTTTTTGGTCAGACCACTAGTAAAATTGTAACTGGGAATTCTATCAAGTCTTTCAATCAATATCCCACATACAGTAATTTGTACTTTTGAAATGGATATATGGCATACATAAGCATATGGCATACTGTTCAATACAGTAACTATCATCCAAATGTTGCCATAGTTTACTTTAAGTAATACTAACAAGGTGCACTGTTATATTAACAACATGACTAAGCATTTTGACTATCTTGTTTGTGAACAATGGCTCAAGTACTTTTCATTCTGATGGCACTGATATGTTCATTGACATACTTAATTTTGAGAGATGAACTAAAGATTTTGAGTAAGTTACAGGCTTTTGCAGGTAATCCATTGTGTGGTGCCGTTTGTACGAATTGTTTTGAGAAATGCACATACTTTTTTGCAAATATTAAGGATGATTTGAGAAATGCTCCAAAGCGACTGAGAAAAACTGTAATTCACTTTCTAGCTTCATATTTTTGAGCAAACCATTGTTTTAAGTCAACATAAAGTTGCTTTTGCAACCCATTTTAATTCTCTAATGTGACAAGTGATATGATTGATAATTAACATGAAAATCTGTTAGCTTGGGTTTATTGGAAACTGATTATGGAGAAATTATCTTTGTAAGATGTGGTTGGTGGAGAAGGTTGAAAAAAGTTACTCTTTTTTATCATATATATATAATATCTGTCAGTGTTATATGCATCGATTAATCAGTTATAAAATAGATATTTAGTTGTGCATGCATGTACATTTAGATTATATTGGGCCATAATCTGATTCTTGCTTAAAGTTAATTTTCAAAAACACTAATAATTGAATAACACTTAATTAAATATTGGATAATCTTCAGTCGTTTTCAAATTTAAATCTTAATTCAATCATAGCATTTAAAACAATGGATTTTAGTTTTTAGTGTTTTATTTTTAATGTATTTAGTCAAATTACTTTAGAATTATAATATTAGCCAAATGTTATCACTCATAAAATGTAAAAAAAATATTGGCTTTTGGTATCTTCTAGAATTGTAATACTAATGATTTCTTACCGAATAAAAGTATTCATTTCTTAAAAAAACAAAAACAAAAAAAAACATTCTAAACAATGACAACTTTTCTGTATCTTATAGAATATTCATATTAATAATTAATTAATATGAATTATTTATTTGCTTGTTTACGAAATTGATTTATTTGTTTATTTACAAATTTTGTACAGTAAATCCAGGAACATGCATTAAAAAGTAAATATGATTTTGTGTTAACTTGAAACTGTTGATCTCGTGCATCACTTGGGATCATAGTTAGAATTAATCAGATTTTTAAAAAATTTGATTCTGAAAGTGATGTTGTCCCTTTGATATCCCAATTTCCCCTATTACACATATGGTTTTGATCTCCAAACCAAAGCAATCTGTTTCATCGCAGCTGCCAACAGCTCAGAAATGTTGCCTTCCCAGATCCATGTAGTGAGCAAAATACTGTCAAAGCGAGACGTTACAAATGTTCATTTTCTGAATGTCAAAGAGGAACATGATTTTCTTATTTCCCTCAGATCGTCAGATTGGTCTGAAAGCACAGAAGGCAGATGCAGTTCTGCTGGTTCTGGGTTTGCTGCGGCAGAATACAGAGAACGCACGGAGAGCCGCGGCCTGTCTTTGGGTTCTCAGAGTCTTCTGCTCCTCTGGTGAGTCGGATCTCGGATCAGTTCATTTTTGCCTTCCTAAGAACTTCCTACACACTACTCTTGATTTAAAGTACATGAGATACAGTCAAATAAGCTAAATAGTTTCTCTGACTCAAAAACAGCTAAATAAAAACTATTTCTTTTTTCTTTTCTTTTCTTAATATTATAAAAATTTTAAAGAACTTTTTCTATCTTAATATGTTGTAAAATGTAATTTATTACTGTGATGCAAAGCTGAATTTTCAGCATTATCACTCTTGAGTGTCACAACAGTTTTGCTGCTAAAAATATTTTTGTGGAAATCATGATATAATTATATATATATATATATATAATTGTTTTTCAGAATTCTTTGAATAGAAAGAAGAGCATTTATTTTGATAAGGTTTTGTGTTTATTATACGTCACATTTAATCAATTAAATGCATCCTTGCTGAATAAAAGTATTAATTTCTTAAAAAAAAACAGAAACTACTGAATGACAGTGTAACTGAATTGAAAACAGTCATAACAGTCATAAAATAGTAGCATCTAAAATAAATACCTAGCTGGTTTCATAATCCAGTTCCATACTAAAAAGAGTCTCATTCCATTTTTCATGTTTTTCGACTCTACTTTCTACTTGTGTACCTCTGTGGTTTAATATAATTCCCATAAAATAGCTGCTTTTGATGCACGGCTGTTCTCTTCTTTGTATCTGTAGTTATTTTCCCATCTTTCATAACACGTTTCCAGCTATAAAGTGTTCAGGTGAAATTGCAAACCAAGCGTTAGCACTTATTGTGCCGTTTGCTCTAGAACTCCACTATTACCGTATTTATGCACCCGCCGTATTCAAATCTAACTTAAAGAAGAATATATTGTGATTTTGCTCTGCATGGGGCAGAGGGAGGTTGGCCTCCACCTTTGATTTACTCTTTGTGTGCGATTCCACCAGTGGAAAGTGCGATAACGGGTAATCGGCCATAAAATGCAAATCGGCCTTTGCTGGTTTTTATTTCAAATGCAGTCATGTTTTTGCTGTATGCAGTGTGAGGTCTGTTTATCAGTTATGTGACAGCTATCCTGTGAATGATACCGACGCAGGAGGTTCAGCTCTCAGGTTGTAACCGTGAGAAATGCACCGTTCCGAAAAGGCATCCAAAAGTCTTTCATGCTTCATCATAAAAGTAGAAATATATCTTTTTTTTTTTTAAACACTAGACGTACAGTCTGCGTACCCTGGGACGCCGAAGAGATTCCGCCGCAGCGACCGTCAGTGTTTATGATGCCAGCTAGCCTTGTAGCAAGCACAATGTATTAATAGGAGAAATGTCATCTGGGCACATGCCTTGTTTATAAGGGTGAAGTTTGGACTTCGGTGATCTCTTAAAATTCCCCCTTGAGTCTATCCTTTGTGGAGAACGATCGCCCCTGCACAAGATTGACAGGGGGATCCAGTATACTGCGCTGTGAAATGCAATCTTTTCAGTAGTGTTGGGTTCAGCAATGTTGCAAAGACTTTTTATTGTTGTGTTAATCACATATCTGGTGTTGTAGTGACCACGGCCGACCTGCTGGGGAAGAACCGAGGGCTGGATGTGGTCTTCAAGCTTATATCTCCACACAGCACCAAGCACCTACGCACCGTCAAGTGAGTATCACATGTTGTGAGGGTGCGTCATTGGCGTATGCTGATCTCGCCTGACAGTAAGAACAGTTCTGTGTGCTGAAAGCGCTGGTCATTACATTACTCACATGCTTGCTTACATTAGTCGAAATAAAGTACGCACAACATTAGAGACTGCTCTTATTTAGATATTAAGCTGATAATAATTTATTTATTTAAGGTATTAAATATAATATACTTAAACAGACTTAAACCCTGACCCTACCACTATTTTGTTTGCGTTTTATTTTTTAGATATTTCTCCATTTTTTGATCATATAAAGTGGCCATCCATGGATTGAAGCATTTATAAAAAGACATTCAAAACAGTCTTCTTCTTCTTCTTCTTCTTCTTCTTCTTCTTCTTCTTCTTCGTCTTCTTCTTCTTCTTCTTCTTCGTCTTCTTCTTCTTCTTCTTCTTCGTCTTCTTCTTCTTCTTCTTCTTCGTCTTCTTCTTCTTCTTCTTCTTCGTCTTCTTCTTCTTCTTCTTCTTCGTCTTCTTCTTCTTCTTCTTCTTCGTCTTCTTCTTCTTCTTCTTCTTCGTCTTCTTCTTCTTCTTCTTCTTCGTCTTCTTCTTCTTCTTCTTCTTCGTCTTCTTCTTCTTCTTCTTCTTCGTCTTCTTCTTCTTCTTCTTCTTCGTCTTCTTCTTCTTCTTCTTCTTATTATTATTATTACTTATTATATTACTTTAGTTCTAATGTGGGTTTAGCATCCAAAATTAACAACAACAACAACGACAATAATAGTAACATTTATAATGTCTTTTTTTAAATGCATTAATCCATGTATGGCCACTTTATATGATCAAAATAATTTAAAATGGAGAAATATCTATTTATAAATTGACCCTACTATTTGTTTATTATTATTATTATTATTATTAATAATAATAATAATAATAATAATAATAATAATATAATAAAATGCTATAAAATATACATTCTAAACCCAACTTAGAACTAATGTAAAGAACTAATATAGTTTAATAAAATTATTGTTATTATTGTATTTCTGCTTATTATTTATTATTATACTTCTGCCTATTATTATTATAGTTTAGCCCTTCTACTACTACTACTACTAATAATAACAATGTTTTTTTTAATAATAAATATACTTTGATTTGATTGATTGAGGATTGATTTGATTGATTGTTATGCAAGATCCCATTTTAAACACCAATATCTGAGTTTGTGGTCTACTAAATGTACGTCGGACATAATTTGACTTTCAGTAATATTAAATTCTTTCAACACCAGAAAGTCAGAAGTCTGAATTTAAAGTCTCTCCAAAATGCGAGTCTCTTGTCTCGCCTGCAGGTGCAACTCCACTTACCTTGCTATAATAAAGGCCACAACATAATCCTAATGTCCAATCCCTCAAATATCTGTGCTCCAAGGCTGAGGCTTGTTTGTCAAAAATGCCAAGATTGGCCTAGTATTTCTCTTTTTGAAGATTTCAAAAATAATTTCTTGTTTCAGTGAAATTGAGTTTTAGGTTAAGATACTTCTTACATATTACATAATTTCAAAGTGTTTTTCTGTGTGTTTTCCCATGTCTTTTCCCTATAAAGGAAAGTGGATGGGTTCTTTAGAAATTAGCAGGTGACTGTGGGGGGTTGTGTATTTGTTTGCTGCGCCGCATGTGGTGTGACATATTATCAAAGCAGAAATGCTAACACAATCGTAAGATGCAGCCATCGGTGCACTGGCCTTGTATAATTAGTGTCTTATATTGTAACTCATAGATCAAATCCTGTCCTGGGAAATTTGCATGCACAGTACAACTAATTTATAGCAAGCCTGCTCATTGAAATGCTCAGAAGATGCTTGTTTACTGGGATTTGGCAACTGTGCGCTGCATAGATATGCTGATTGGCAGTAGCCTAACTTGGGTAAACAGTGCTTGACCTACAGTGACAGGAAATGAATTCCCACATGAAGAGTGCTGCACTTGTTGAGTGTGTCCTGATGCTGCACAGAGCAGCAAACCCTGTTCCAAGCTGCGTTCCGATTCATAGGGTCCCTAGCCATCACTGCTCCCTACATACTTTGTAGGGGGAATATAGCACTTTGCTTTACAAAATGTGTTTGTGTGGAAGGACCTACAACATCAGCAAACACAGAGAGCACAACATAATATACAGTACATGAATGAATGATCTGTCTGTCTGTTTTATCATTTTATTCATTTGATTTTCATTTTATTGATCTTTTATTTTATTCATTTTTTTTTCATTTGATTGATCTTCTACATCTTTTAATCTTATTATTTATCTCTGTCTGTCATTTTTTCATTTGATCATTTATTTAAAATTAAACGCTTGCTTATATGGATTAGTGAGCAGTAAATACGACATACCGTACTACAGAGCCCATAAAGTCACATTTGCAGGGAAAAAAAGAAGAAAAAAAAACTTCTGCATGTGTGAGGAACTTTAGAAATGGACAAGAAACGTTTAGTTAGTTATTTGTTTGTAATTTGTTCTATCATGCATTTAAAATTAAATACTTGCTTATATGGATTAGTGAGCAGTAAATACTGCATACTACAGAGAGCCCTATAGCATTTGCAGGAAAAACAATAGCAACAACAAAAAACTTGAGAAATTACATTTTCATGAAAACATTTATTTATTTATTTATATGGGAAGTTTTTTTGCAGACAAAGTTTTCATGTGCACACACAATCTTGGTGTAATTATTATTAAAGGAAATACTTCATTAATAAAATAGCAAATTAAGAAGTAACCAACAACAACAACAACAAAATAATATTAAAAATAGTTGCTTAGCATACATTTATTTTATTAGTTTATTAGACTTAATGGTGTTTTAGTATTTAAAAAAGTATCATTGGCATTATGCAATTATAACCATTTTATGACAAAAGCATGGGACATTGTTGTCACTTGATATCATGTTGCATGTTTTATTTGGAGAATAACAACTGGCTGAATTATTTAGCATTTCTAATTCATTATTGAGTAAAAGTGCCCATAAATCTGGTCATTGCTTACATAACGGATAAAGAAAGACTTCTGCTGATATTCGTTTTTTTTTCTTTCATTTATTTCATTTTAGTATACAAACTATAGAGGTTGTTGCAGAACTAGTAGTGTGCTGGTATGCCTGTCTGCGCTAGTACCTGAAGCACCAGGCTATCTCGCCTCATTCTCTTGTTAATTTGGTGCTCACTGCCAACAGGTTAAGTCAAGCATCAGTGTCTAATTGTCGGCCTGACCAATTAGTGGCCAGAGCTTCTCCTGCTCTTAAATTGGAACTAAAGACTAGAGCTAATCAATGCCTCTGCGAGTTCGTGCGATAACCTAAGGACCCTCTCTGGCTGCTTAACTCCAGGAGCACAGCTCTGTGAGGCAGATAAAGTCAAATTAAACTGCAATATTGAATGTAAGACTAGAACTGGATTACACCCATATCTGATACGTGTGTTTGCCGGCTTGGTGCACGTGCAGATTTTCTTCTCTAGTGCGTCCATGTCAGGATTCCCACAGGACAGGAAGTATACAGGAGAGCGAGAATTGTAATTAGATGGCGTTCTGTGGTAATCCGCTGTGTGTGTGCAGGGAGCTATCAGAAACCCGATATGGAATGGGTCCAGTTTTCCAACAGTTGTCAGGAGTAAGTACAGCGTCCTCTCTAGGCTCTCCACAGTTACCTTACGAGGCTTGTCTGATGCCAACAGCATCTGTGCAGTGTTTTATCTGCCAGATGATGATATTTGCAACCGTTTCGAGATCAGAAAGTCTTTCACTTTACTGTTTCCGATTTCCAGCAGAAGGAAATTGATCTGCCAGTCATTATAAGCTGCCTCAGTAAAGTTTGGTTAAAATAAAGAAGTTGTGATTTCTTTCCACAGGTCTAAAGTGCACAAGTGTCACCGTTAAAATGCAATTACCATTACGTATGTAATGTAATTTCAATAATTACTCATAATTATGCATGGTTAAATTAGACAAACTATATTATTATAATTAGAATACAAAAATGTCGATCTATAAATATTTTGATCATTTTCACAAAAGTTTAATGGCAACCAGAATATTTGGTTGCATGAAAACAAAACAAAGAACTGAGCCCCTGCTTTAAAATAAAAGCTTTATTCTAGCTTCATGCAATCTTTTTTTTATCCACACTTGACTTGAATGAGGGTACGTTTCATGAAAAAAGCAACAGTTTGAGCAAAAAGCTGAGAAAATCAAATTTTTGTAAAAGACTACACCTGGATCAGATTCAGAACGATGATCAAAACATAGATGAAATGGATCACTTTCATCAACACATCTAAAGCTTGCACAGTCCTATACCACTTTCTGGATCATCATTTCATTCTGTAACATTAGGCCATTTTACATTTACATTTTTCTATTTTACATATGCATCTGCTTACATACGCGATCACTATTTCTCCTTCTTCACCGTGTTTTGATCCAGACGTTCCGTACTCTTTCAGATGATACATAATAGCACCTCCTACCATATGCCAGTGAAAACAGAAAACTCCATCCATGGCAGGGAAAGAGTTAATATTAATATTAAAGGGATAGGTCACCAAAAAAATAAAAAATTGTCATCATTTACTCACCCTCCAGTTGTTCCAAACCTGTATGGGCTTCTTTCTTCTGTTGAACACAAAATAAGTCATTTTGAAGAATGTTGGTAACCAAACAGTTGACGGTAGCCATTGATTTCCATAGAATTTTCTTTCCATACTGTGAAAGTCAATGGCTACCATCAACTGTTTGGTTACCAGCATTCTTCTTTTGTGTTTGGAACAACTTGAGGGGATAACGATGACAACTGGAATAAAAGATGACAACTTTTATTATAATAAATAAATCAAGTCTCAAGTATTACTAATAATACATTAATAATAATTACAGTAATAATAAATACATTAACGCTAAATACATTATTATTGTTTTTGCTATTATTATTATAATTTGTATTACTATAATTTTATTTGTATTGTTATTCCTATTAATATTAACATTTCTTTAACTTATTTTATTAATTAAATATTTTAATTAAATACAAATTACACAATGATTGTGTGTACATGTACATGCAAAAAAAATTTTTTCTGCAAATGTCACTTTAGGCTCTCCATAACATGCAGTATTTCCTTCGCATTAATCGGTATAAGCAAGAATATCATTTTCAGCATGGCCAGAGACGACTGGGACATGTTTTTCTTTTTCTTTTTTAACCACTTCAATGATTTGACCGGCCTGGGAAAGTTGCACTTTCAGATCCAGTATCCCTCTTCGCAGAACTGTTTTGCCCATGCTGAAATCATGTAAACTCAGTATAAATGTCATAAGCCGTTCCATCTACACCTGCCATTCCTTCTAGACATCACTTCAGTATCACTTGAAAGCATATCATTCTGTAATACATACATGGGTTAAAAACGGCCTCTGTGGCCTTTACAGTAGTGTGCTGCAAAGATTTCAAATCTACATTGAGAATTTCTCTCTGTTCACTCTCTGATGAATATGAAAAAAATACTCAGTGCACAGGCAGAACAGATCAACAGATCTTCAATATTGTCAAATTTGTCTGCTGGCTTTCTGCTGACAGCTCAGCCTCATAGCTCAAATCCCCGCGGAACATCTGCGCACTGATGCTCGTAGTCCTACCGACTGATACCGCGTGCCATTTCAAAGAAGCGACAAGCCGTTAGCTTGGGGAAACAATGGCATTTGCCTGCCTCCGAAATTGCAATACGCCACTGTTTGCATTAATGTCAGCAGCGTGACTGGAAGACTCCAACAGCGGCAGAGGAGAGATATGATATGATTTCTTTATGGAGCTCCCAGTGTCCACAAACAGAGAGGCTGCGGGTAAAGCGAATTGACTATCTTGAGGACAGAATGGTGGTTTTGCGTCAGCGAGCTGCTGTCTGCTCCACCGCTGGGCTGTTTGTGCTCTCTTGCGGTTAGTGAACAGGGAGTGACATATTGTCTCTGTGATGGAGACTTAACAATGTTGCGCACTGTAGGGGTCAGGCTACATACTGCTGTAAGTCAAAGAGCTTTTCAAGATTTACCATGCCATGGTGTGACCAGAGAAACCGAGAGAGATAAAGCCTTGCTTTGAAGTCTGTCTGTCCGTCTGTATCTGTCTATCTGTCTGTCTGTCCGTTTGTCGCTCCATCTGACTATCTTTCTGTCTGTCCTATTGTTCTATAATTTTTTTTGTTCATTTGTTCTTTCTACCATTAATTCTATCGTTCTATTGTTTTTATTTATTTATTTTCTGTCGCTCATTCTGTTGTTTGCTTTGATGTTTGTTCTGTCAGTCTTTTGTCTGTCCTACCATTCTGCATGTTTTGGTTTTGTTTATCATTTGTTCTATCATTCTATTATTGATCAATCTTGCTGATAGAATCCTTCATTCTATCGTTCACTTTATATGCTGTTTGCGCTGTCTTTTGTCTGTCCTATCGTTCTATCATTCTTTTGTTTCATTCATTCATTTTTTCGTTCATTCTGTCTGTCTGTCTGTCTGTCTGTCTGTCTGTCTGTCTGGCCACTGTTTGCATTAATGTCAGCAGCGTGACTGGAAGACTCCAACAGCGGCAGAGGAGAGATATGATATGATTTCTTTATGGAGCTCCCAGTGTCCACAAACAGAGAGGCTGCGGGTAAAGCGAATTGACTATCTTGAGGACAGAATGGTGGTTTTGCGTCAGCGAGCTGCTGTCTGCTCCACCGCTGGGCTGTTTGTGCTCTCTTGCGGTTAGTGAACAGGGAGTGACATATTGTCTCTGTGATGGAGACTTAACAATGTTGCGCACTGTAGGGGTCAGGCTACATACTGCTCTAAGTCAAAGAGCTTTTCAAGATTTACCATGCCATGGTGTGACCAGAGAAACCGAGAGAGATAAAGCCTTGCTTTGAAGTCCGTCTGTCCGTCTGTATCTGTCTATCTGTCTGTCTGTCCGTTTGTCGCTCCATCTGACTATCTTTCTATTTTTTTTGTTCATTTGTTCTTTCTACCATTAATTCTATCGTTCTATTGTTTTATTTATTTATTTTCTGTCGCTCATTCTGTTGTTTGCTTTGATGTTTGTTCTGTCAGTCTTTTGTCTGTCCTACCATTCTGCATGTTTTGGTTTTGTTTATCATTTGTTCTATCATTCTATTATTTATCAATCTTGCTGATAGAATCCTTCATTCTATCGTTCACTTTATATGCTGTTTGCGCTGTCTTTTGTCTGTCCTATCGTTCTATCATTCTTTTGTTTCATTCATTCATTTTTTCGTTCATTCTGTCTGTCTGTCTGTCTGTTGTTGTTTCATTGGTTCTGTCTATTGTTACATCTGTTGTTTGTTCATGCATTCTTTCCTATATATCTATCTGTCTGTCATTCAGTAATTCATTACATCTGTCTACCATATTTGACCCTGGACCACAAAACCAGTCATAAGGGTCAATTTTTTTAAACTGGCTTTTCCATCTCAGAAGTTCAAAAACTTAGCTTGCTCTCTGCCCATATTTCAAGGCATTGGATTTTGTCAACCCGACAGACTGGTGGTGATATTTATTGGCAGATTGTTGCAAAGCCATTCATAATTATTCTACATTCACCCTGCACGTATTGGGTAGAGGAATATGGAGACTGCTGAATCAGCAACCCTGTCACTGCAAAATAAATGCTCATGATCACAATGACAGGAATTGTTATACAATGTATATATATATATATATATATATATATATATATATATATATATATATATATATATATATATATATATATTTTTTTCCTCTATATATATATATATATATAAGCGACAGCCTCTCCACCCAATGCTAAATGCAGCTGGGTGTGTGCTCGTGTTACTTAGCTTTATGCGTGTTCGGAGAGGGATAGAATGGGGTGCGCATGATGCTGTAGAAATGAAATGCCTCATATACATATTTTAATGTCAGATGTGTTTTCTGTTGTTTCACAGGGCGGCCGTCGACGCTTTTGCTGCAATGTTATGCTCAAGTAAGTTTCTTTTGCTTTAGCTTTTGTGAACAAACAGTACTGGGGCAACACAATCATGTTTCTCCCAGAGTGCTTTGCTCCATAGCTCTAGATATAGATATAAATATAGATAGATATATTGACTTAAACTTAAACATATATATAT